GTGGCTTGTTAGGGTACATGTGGAAATTAAAGGAAAACATGAAGGAATTGGTTCTTGCCTTCCATCGTGGGGATCCTGGGGATGGAACTCAGGCCATCCTGTCTGGAAGGAAGGAAGCGCCTTTACCCGCTGAGCAATCTCACGTCTTTATGCTACATTTAAAATATTTAAAATGTCAGCTGGCCTCCCGATGCTGGGCCTCTTTGTACCTTCCCAGATTCTCATGCTCACTCTCTCTCTCTCTCTCTCTCTCTCTCCCTCCCTCCCTCCCTCTCTGTCCTCCTTCCCCCCTCCCCTTTTTTCTCCCCCCTCTCTCTGCTTTTCAAATGCCCCATGGCCCAGAAGCTTTCACTCGCTTCCTGTTTCACTCTAAATGCTGTTTCTTCTTTAACGGGGAAATTTCTTTGAGCCCTAAAGATTTAACTCAGATATTAATGGCCGTATATATAAAAGCTTCACCGCTGAGGGCCTCAGTCACTTTTTGCTTGCTATTTCATAACATAGATTTGCAATAGTGATAGGATTCAGTCCACATTACACGGTGGCTCTTTGTCCTTATGTAGCTTTAGTTTTCTTAGGGATTTTCACAGTTTATTTTTATTGTCAATGATCCTTTGCACTATTCCCGACTCTGAAGTTAAGAAATCCAAGTGCCTTATTGTAACTGCAGTTAATGTTTGGTGAGCAAATGAATTGCGATGCAAACGAGGCACCCGAGTGCACTGGGGACTCAGTGCAGCATAGAGCAGTCACCGGACTTCAAGCCTAGATCTCTGGCCAAAATAAATACATAAACCCTTGCCAGGATTTCGGGTAAATACAGACTTTACCTCCTCTTGGCCCTATCAGTTCTAGTTTAAGATCTACTGAGTGGAAACGTGGCTAGGTAGTTAAAAACACCAGCTGCATTTGGCACACTGATATATGTTCAGGCAAAGAAAGCACTGATACAAAAAGAGTGAAATAATTGTTAAACAAACTAAAATCTGCTGGGTGACAGTGAGCACTTTTGCTTCTGTTTGAAGCCTCACACTCAAAAATGTACCTCCAACCCAGTCTTTATATATATAAAGACTTCAAGTCTCTTCTCTCTCTCTCTCTCTCTCTCTCTCTCTCTCTCTCTCTCTCACACACACACACACACACACACACACACACAACACCACACACATATCCA